CGCCCTCACTATACTGTATACACAGAGCTCACTATATCGCCCTCACTATACTGTATACACACAGCTTACTATATCGCCCTCACTATACTGTATACACACAGCTCACTATATCACCCTCACTATACTGTATACACAGCCCTCACTATATCGCCCTCACTATACTGTATACACAGAGCTCACTATACCGCCCTCACTATACTGTATACACAGCCCTCACTATACCGCCCTCACTATACCGCCCTCACTATACTGTATACACACAGCTCACTATACCGCCCTCACTATACTGTATACACAGCCCTCACTATACCGCCCTCACTATACTGTATACACAGAGCTCACTATACCGCCCTCACTATACTGTATACATAGAGCTCACTATACCGCCCTCACTATACTGTATACACAGAGCTCACTATACTGCCCTCACTATACTGTAGGCTTTTTGCATTAAACACACACTTTTCTGAAAAAAGGCAGTGTTTAATTTACAGCCTAGGTATATCTCCACTTCTCAGATGGCTACTTTAGGTGCTTCCTGGGGCAATGCTGCACAGACATTCTGTGTGACCTGAACTTTTCCTATAGCTTGGCTGGGGGTCTCGTTGTCCCTTCCCACCCTCGTCGTCCCTTCCCACCCTGGACCAGCTCTCCTCCAAGAGGGTATAGCAGGTATAGCTGTGAAGCTATTGGTTATAGCTTGTATAGCAGGTCTCTACAAACACGAGGCGAGGCTCAATGTTGAGGATAAAGCAGGACTCAATTTTAATGGTGCCACACTGGCCTTTTATGCAAGTCCCCTAACAAGGTGTATGCCCACATGGACCTTGTTGGGGACAAGGACATAAACTTATACAGCATAACACATTTACAATGTAAATAATCCTTCCCCTTTACTTAGGAGATAATTGAGTCAACCACTATACTAAACTCAATTATCTCCAAACACAAAAAACACACATTTTTACAAAACCCCCCAAAAACCTCAAAACACACAATATCCCCACAAATCTTACATGCCCTGATAGCCCTGATCTGGGTGACCAACAAATCCCCAAATCACCCAGATCAGTTCATGGGTACAGACATTTTATGGAAGTCATATTTTTTACCGACTGCGGGCATGGTCCCATAGCCGAAAATAGTTCCATAGAATAGTGGCTAAGTGCCGCTGGGGGACCGACTGGGAACTAGAAGGTTTTCATGCCGAAAATAGTTTTAGGGAATTCGGGCTAAGTCCCCTGTAAGGAAACCAAGTACATTTAAACCTCAATCGAGAGTTTCCTCCCGAACCGCCAGAGCCTAGTGAACATAGCCCTCCGTTCGGTAGTTATGATAGACGAATCCTAGTGTAGTTCCAATAGTGCCACTGGATAATTCCCTCAGTAAAACACACAAATCCCCAAACAGCATACGTTGTCAGAAGAAGGGTACAAAGATGAACTAAGGATTTATTGATAGGCATTCTCTTTTTATGGGATCCTGCCCATGCAAGGGAGCCTCCCATATAATTAACTGTACAACCAATCATAACAATATACATACTGTACATCTCCTCCCCTCAGATAACCAATTAACCCAATTAAAACGGAATACATTTTCCCCAAAGTCTGGATGTACTCTGGGGGACCAACATATGAAAAATCAGTCGATTCGGTTCAGCCGTTCGGGAGATATGGGACTTAGAAGTTTTGACCGACTGCACGGGCAAAGTAGCCGAAAACAGTTCCACGAATTCTGGCCCTGCAGTCGGTCTTAGGTCGCGTGTAAAACCTCTCGAACGGCCGGCCATCCAGATGCCATCCGGGGTTCGCTGAACTCCCCATCTGTTAGTAATTCTTTCTACCGAATGCCCGGTCATTCGGTAGTTTTAGTGGGGTTCTACCGAAGGTATGGAGGATTCAGCGGTGTTCGCCTATTTGAGTGTCCGTTTTCAGTTCCAGACACTTGACGGCAAACACCTCTGTTCGGGAGTTAAAATGGCCGCAAACACGTGGAAGTCCCGAAATGGCGGCGGTGCATACAGTTCGTGCAGAACTTTAGGCGAACATGCCCAACAGGCAGGGAGGTAAAGTACTCATAATGGGCACCGGGGTGGTCTCGATTCGGTAGTTTTACCTACCGAATGCCATAGGGGAAGATAACATGAAACAAGGGAATACAAATTGTCATTTTGAAGCCACATAGGGGGATTTCTTCACATCCCCCTAAAGTCTATTCGCGGTTTTGGTCCATGCGAACAAGATGGCCACCACCTCGTGGTCGAATTGCACTTCAAATGGCTTTGGGAGTTCAAAGTGCCGCTTCAAAAGTTCGAATTCTGGCCATACAAGTACAAAAAGGCACACACGGTGGTTTTAACCAGGATTTAACACAAGGGCCATAGTCACAGGGCAAGAGGCTGACAAGTATGCCCCTCCAAGAACGCGTGACGAGGTCCAGTTCATCACATAATTTCTTTCCCCTTTTTTTTAACATTTTTTGCATTACTTATTGATTTTTTCTTTTTTCAAGAGCTCTCTGTTACTACATATGTTTTTGATTAATGTAACAACTGGAGATAATGTGGACTATAATATAGGCTTTATAGGAAACCATGGTTATCTGGACATTATATTGAAAAACAAGAACAGCACCTCAAGCCTTTACATTGATTTATGGTCTAAACAAGGTAATTTTGTATAAGGATTTCTTTGTATTCAAGGAAAGAGCCATACATAGAGACTTGTGATATATGAGGCAATGTTTACTAAGTGTTTTTTTTTAGTACCAGAAAAGTGATATAAAATTTTTGTGAAAATGGTTCAGTTTAAAGAGAGAAACCCGATCACATTGCCAATCATGTGTACATAATTTCCAGGTTATGCAACTATACCCCTCAATCATGTATACACAATTTTAACCATTGCAAATTAAATCTGTTTGCATTGGCTGTCCAGACAGTAGAGTCAGTTCTATCCTTAAAGTGCCGGCTCTGCTGTGTGTCTAAATTGTGGGGCATGATGACTAGTGATGTCCCGAACGGTTCGCCGCGGACGGCGAACATAAACATAAACTTTGACCCTGTACTACACAGTCAGCAGACACATTCCAGCCAATCAGCAGCAGACCCTCCCACCTCCTGGACAGCATCCATTTTACATGGCACCCATTCTCTTTAATATTTTTATAAGTGATATTGCGGAAGGTCTTGATGGTAAGGTATGTCTTTTTGCTGATGATACTAAGATATGTAACAGGGTTGATGGTCCAGGAGGGATAAGCCAAATGGCAAATGATTTAGGTAAACTAGAAAAATGGTCAGTTGTGGCAGCTGACATTTAATGTGGACAAGTGCAAGATAATGCATCTTGGGCATAAAAACCCAAGGGCAGAGAACAGAATATTTGATAATGTCCTAACCTCAACATCTGAGGAAAAGGATTTAGGGGTATTGTACGCAGTACTGGAGACCGTATCTCCAGAAGGATATTGATACTTTGGAGAGAGTTCAGAGAAGGGCTATTAAACTGGTTCATGGATTGCAGGATAAAACTTACAAGGAAAGTGTAGCGGATGGCACCAGGCGACCCTACAAATATACTGTATAACCTGCATTCGTGTATCTGCTGTATTTTCTATGTATTAAAACGAATTGTATTCCTCTGATTGTTCGGTAGTTTAATTCCCTTAGTTTATTCGAATGAAACTACCGAACAACCAGACCTCCCCTGTGTGAAGTGTGTCCTCAATTACCCGTTGCAACATTGTTGCGAAAGGGTAATTGAACAGTAAGTAGCCGTCCTTTGTTCTCGGGGGTGGCCGCCATTCGACAAACGAACACGTGGCGGCGGCCATTTTAAAACTCCCGAACAGCGGTGTTTTGCCGTCGAGTGTCTGGAACACCGCTGAGACCTCCACAGCCCTGGTCTGTTCGGTTCCAAACTATACGATAGAAAATACCGAACGAGGGGATTCAGGCGAACCCTCCCTAGCCTCTATAGCTAGAGGTTTTCGTGTATTTTATTCCCTTATGCCAGGACCGACCGCAGGGCCCATTCGCATGGAACCTTATTCGGCTATATCAGTTAGTGCGGTCGGTCATTTTATTCCCTCCATACATTTCCCGAACCCCTGGTCTGATCTGGGTGATTTTTGGATATGTTGTTCCCCCAGATCAGGGGTATCCGGGGATGTATGATTTAAAGAGGTACCCCTACGTTTAGGGGTACATCCAGAAACGGGGGGAATTGGTGTGTTGGATAAGGGGATTATGATGCTGGCTGAGGGGAGGAGATGTGTGGGAGGTTACCAGGACAGGATTGGCTACTGTAATAATTACTGTAAATCCCTCCCTTGCATGGGAGCAGGCTTTATAAGGAGACTGTGATTAAAGGCTTGTCAGTTATGCTCCTGAACTGTGTGTCGTCCAGTTATTGGGATTGCTGTTGGGATATTGCTGTATTTTACCTGCTGGAAACCTTGCCTGTGGATTTACTATTTACTTGTTCCTGAGTCCCACTTGGATTATAAGCGGAGATACCCTGGGTAATATTGCATCTCCGCTACATTTGTGACAGCGGTGGGATCCAGACTCACAGAGGAACAAGCCTAAATGGAGTACGGATGGAGATTGATTTTGCCACACTAAAACGCTCCACGCTAAAAGACCTTCTGGAGGCAAGGGGTATACAAGCCAGCAATAAGACAAAAGCGGTACTCATCACTGAACTGATGGCGGAGTACCGAATGGACGGCGATTCGGTTCCCGAACAGGGGAATTCGGGAGAAACACCGGAACAAAGGGAGTTCCAGAGGCAGGTACAATTTCGGCTGTCTTTCTATGGGGAACACCCTCCAACAGAGATTGTTTCCAAAACGATAACGGAGGTCCAGGAATTTATACTGAGGAGTCAAACAGCGGCCCCAGAACGCAGCTCTGCAGTAAATATGCCACAAGAAGGTAAGCCGAAAATACCATACCAGGCTTTTAAAACATATGTGGAGGCAGAGGAAGATATAGACGCTTTCCTGCAAGATTTCGAGAGACTGTGTGCGCTGCATAGAATCAGCGCAGAGGACTGGGTACCTATTTTGGCAGGGAGGTTAACTGGGAGGGCAGTACCGTACTGTACCTAATGATGAAATACGGAATTACCACAAAGTAAAAGAAATTATATTGGCCAGGTATGCTATAACACCAGAAGCATACCGGCGGAGATTCAGGGATTTAAAGAAGGTGGAGAAAGACTCACATGCTGAGTGGGCATGCAGACTACAACAAGCAGTCTTGGGGTGGGTGCAAGCGAGCAAGGCACGGTCTATGGAGGATGTATTGCAAATGGTACTGCTGGAGCAATTTTATGAAGGAGTAACCAGCGAGGTACAGGAGTGGGTAAGAGACAGAAACCCTACCTCCCTTACCGAAGCAGCCAGGAAGGCAGACGAGTACCTGGATGCACGCAGGCAGCAAAAACCTGCAGCTCCAAAAGTACCTTTTAAAACCTTTGGGGGAAACAACTACACGCCAGCTCTACCAAGGTCACTGCCACCACCACCACCACCCGCTGCACAGCCACGTTTCCGCCAGCCCACGTCGGGCCCTTGCCACCACTGCCAGAAGTGGGGACACTATAAAAGGGAATGCCCCCAGCTGCGGGACCGTTCCACCTGGATCCGACCCGGTCCACCACCACCACCGAGAGCCGCCGCAGCCCATCACTACCAGGACATCGTGGCCACACCGTATGGTTCAGCAGTTCCCATCACAACGGTAGAGCAGTGGGAGGTACTGCACGAGGCAGATCCCGTCCAGGCTAATGCTGACAACCGCCAGCATCACAGGCAGACCGTGTATCTGGAGGGTAAAGCGGTTCAGGGGCTACGTGACTCAGGAGCCACCATCACCCTGGTAAAAAGTCACCTGGTCTCAGACCAAGCTAAACTTAGTAAGACTGTGGCCGTCAGGGTAGCCGGGGGAGCAGTATACCGGCTACCTACAGCAAGGGTACATTTGCATTGGGGAGCGGGGGCAGGGCATGTGGAGGTGGGGTTGATGCCGCAGTTACCGGCGGAGGTTTTATTGGGGAACGATCTGGGGAGGCTCACATCTGCTTTTGAGCCCCAGACACCCACCACAGGAGAAGCTCACCCTGTGGTCATTCGACAACAGGCCCGCACCCAGGACTACAACACACTCCCGGAGGTTCAGGTAAGAGATCCTTCCCCTGCCCTTGACTGTGTTCCCTGGGCCCCTCCTAATGAATTTGCAGCTGAGGTAGTGACTGACCCCACCTTACAGGTGTATAGGGACAAGGTGACAGCAGACACGCCTGGGGGGGAGGGCAAAGGGTTTATTTGGGACAAACAACTGTTATATCGGGAGACGGATAAGCAGGTATCCGGGTCAGACCCGATTGTGATGAGGCAGTTAGTGGTACCTCAGCGGTACCGGGCGGAGTTACTACGGATAGCCCATGACATTCCGCTATCTGGACATTTAGGGGTCAGCAGGACCCGATACAGGTTAACCCAAAGTTTCTTTTGGCCGGGAATTAGCCAGGAGGTGCGCAGGTATTGCAACACGTGCGATACCTGTCAAAGGGTGGGGAAAAGGGGGGACCGGCGCAAGGCCAAGTTACATCCCCTCCCCATAATCGAGGAACCCTTTAGCAGGGTAGCAGTGGACCTAATAGGACCCCTCAACAAAGCGAGCCCGTCAGGTAAAAGATTTATCCTGACAGTAGTAGATTATGCCACTAGATATCCAGAGGCGGTGGCCCTGACGAATATACAGGCGGAGACCGTAGCCGAAGCCCTGATGAAGATATTCTCCCGGGTGGGACTCCCCAGGGAGATTGTCTCCGATCAGGGCACCCAGTTCACCGCCGAAGTCACGCAGCGCCTCTGGAAGTTTTGTGACATTAAGCCGGTCATTAGTTCCCCTTACCACCCCCAGACGAATGGGCTCTGCGAACGTTTCAACGGTACATTGAAACAAATGCTCCGAACCTTCGCAGAGACCCACAAGGACTGGGAGAAGTTCCTGCCACACCTCCTCTTTGCTTACAGGGAGGTGCCGCAGGAATCCACTGGGTTTTCCCCATTTGAACTATTGTTTGGCCGCAGGGTACGAGGGCCTTTAGATTTGATCAGAGAGCATTGGGAGGGAGAACGGAGCACTGACGGTACCCCCATCATACCATATGTGTTGGCATTCCGAGACCGCCTGGAGGCCTTAACTCAGACGGTACGCGAGAATTTGCAGGCGGCTCAGACACGCCAGCGCACATGGTATGATCGGGGCGCCAGGGACCGTAGCTTTCAGGTCGGGCAGAAGGTGTTGATCTTAAAACCTGTCCGACACGATAAGCTGCAGGCCGCCTGGCAGGGCCCTTATAAGGTGGTAGAACAACGGTGTGACACCACTTATATAATCGGCTCGTGCGTTGGTACTGGGGGGCGACGCATGCTCCATGTGAACATGATGAAGCCCTACCAGGAGCGCTCTGAGGAAGTGACCGCTATATGTGCGCCTAACTCCGAGGAGTTTGACAGTTTACCTCTCCCAGATCTGCTGGGAGAGGGTCAGTTATCCGGGGACTTAGGGGAAGTCACCCTGGGGGATCGGTTGAGCCCACAGGAGCGGAGCGAGGTACAACAGCTGTTGAGGGAGAAGCAGGATATCTTCTCTAATGTACCTGGTTACACTCCTCTGGCCACTCACCGAGTAGACACCCCAGGACAACTTCCCATGCGTCAGACCCCATACCGCATCCCAGAGGCGGTACGGGCGAACATGCGCAAGGAGATCGATGAGATGCTCCAGCTGGGGGTGATTGAGCCCTCCGACAGCCCCTGGGCATCTCCGGTAGTACTAGTACCAAAGCGGGACGGCACGACCCGGTTTTGTGTAGACTACCGGAGATTAAATGAGAAGACGGTATCGGACGCCTACCCCATGCCCAGGATAGACGAACTCCTGGATCGGATGGCGAGGGGGCACTATCTCACCACGATTGACTTGTGTAAAGGGTATTGGCAAATACCCTTGGCGCAAGACGCCATCCCTAAGTCGGCCTTTGTCACCCCATTCGGCTTGTACCAATTTAAGGTCATGCCGTTTGGGATGAAAAACGCCCCGGCTACTTTTCAGCGGATGGTGGACCGCCTCTTAGATGGGTTCCAGGATTATACCTGCGCATACCTCGATGATATTGCCATTTTCAGCAATACCTGGCAGGAACACCTGACCCATATAGGAGCGGTCCTGGACAGGATTAGGGCCGCTGGTTTAACACTGAAACCAGCCAAATGCAGCATAGGTATGGCTGAAGTACAGTACCTAGGTCATCGGGTAGGATGCGGCAAGCAAAAGCCGGAACCAGCCAAAGTAGAGGCTGTAGCTCAATGGCCTACCCCTAGGACTAAGACCCAGGTGTTAGCGTTCTTAGGAACGGCCGGATACTACCGGAAATTTGTCCCGAATTACAGTGCCCTGGCCAAACCTCTCACCGACTTGACCCGTAAAAACCTACCCCGCCAAGTAACCTGGACCCCGGAGTGTGAACAGGCATTTCAGTTGTTGAAAGATGCATTGACAAATGCCCCTGTCTTGGCAGCTCCCAATCCAACTAAACGTTTTCTTGTCCACACAGACGCTTCTATGTTTGGATTGGGAGCAGTATTAAGCCAAGTCGGGGCCGATGGCGGAGAACATCCCGTGGCTTACATCAGCCGGAAACTGTTACCTCGAGAAGTAAGCTACGCCGCCATCGAGAAAGAATGCCTGGCTGTGGTGTGGGCCCTGAAGAAATTACAGCCCTATTTGTACGGACAAGCTTTTTCCCTGCTCACGGATCACAACCCGTTAGTATGGCTAAACCGGGTGGCTGGGGACAATGCCCGGCTGCTGCGCTGGAGTCTGGCGCTGCAGCCCTTTGACTTTAATATCCAGTACCGCCCGGGTAAACAGAATGGAAATGCTGATGGGTTGTCTCGACAAACTGACCTAGAGAAATGATCCGTGAGCCTCCCCGGACATCCCCAAGCCGATCCGTGTTGGATCAGACTGTGTATGCCGGCTTGTGGGCAAGGGGGAGCAGTGTAGCGGATGGCACCAGGCGACCCTACAAATATACTGTATAACCTGCATTCGTGTATCTGCTGTATTTTCTATGTATTAAAGAATTGTATTCCTCTGATTGTTCGGTAGTTTCATTCCCTTAGTTTATTCGAATGAAACTACCGAACAACCAGACCTCCCCTGTGTGAAGTGTGTCCTCAATTACCCGTTGCAACATTGTTGCGAACGGGTAATTGAACAGTAAGTAGCCGTCCTTTGTTCTCGGGGGTGGCCGCCATTCGACAAACGAACACGTGGCGGCGGCCATTTTAAAACTCCCGAACAGCGGTGTTTTGCCGTCGAGTGTCTGGAACTAAAATCGGACACTCGAGTAGGCGAACACCGCTGAGACCTCCACAGCCCTGGTCCGTTCGGTTCCAAACTACCGAACGGCCCCTCGTTCGGTAGATAGAAAATACCGAACGAGGGGATTCAGGCGAACCCTCCCTAGCCTCTATAGCTAGAGGTTTTCGTGTATTTTATTCCCTTATGCCAGGACCGACCGCAGGGCCCATTCGCATGGAACCTTATTCGGCTATCTCAGTTAGTGCGGTCGGTCATTTTATTCCCTCCATACATTTCCCGAACCCCTGGTCTGATCTGGGTGATTTTTGGATATGTTGTTCACCCAGATCAGGGGTATCCGGGGATGTATGATTTAAAGAGGTACCCCTACGTTTAGGGGTACATCCAGAAACGGGGGGAATTGGTGTGCTGGATAAGGGGATTATGATGCTGGCTGAGGGGAGGAGATGTGTGGGAGGTTACCAGGACAGGATTGGCTACTGTAATAATTACTGTAAATCCCTCCCTTGCATGGGAGCAGGCTTTATAAGGAGACTGTGATTAAAGGCTTGTCAGTTATGCTCCTGAACTGTGTGTCGTCCAGTTATTGGGATTGCTGTTGGGATATTGCTGTATTTTACCTGCTGGAAACCTTGCCTGTGGATTTACTATTTACTTGTTCCTGAGTCCCACTTGGATTATAAGCGGAGATACCCTGGGTAATATTGCATCTCCGCTACAGAAAGGTTAAAGGATCTTAAAATGTATGGCTTGGAGGAAAGACGAGATGGGGGGATAGGATCATGAGCGTAGGAACCCAAAAAAATCTGGGGGAGGATAGCATTTTTACTCGCCGGGTATATTCTTATTCTGTAAACTAGGAGTTGTTTATCCCATTGTACAGCGCTACAGAATTTGCAGTCGCTATATAAATGATTAAATAATAACTTTAAAGGATCACTACAGGGAAGGGATTTTACTTACCTGGATACAGCGCCGGGATCCTCCTGATGCCGCGCCCCCTATTTCGTCAAAATGACTTAATAGGAGGGTGCGAGCAGGGAGCAATAAAACGCTTCTATTCAGAAGCGTCATTGCTCTCTGGTGCGCATGCGCAGCTTTGCCGCACATGCACAGATACTTCATAGGGTGGCATTCATGTCTCGACTAGGAAGCACCTCTAGTGGCCATCTGAGTGTCCACTAGAGGTATTCCTCATCAGTAATGTAAATACTGCCTTTTTACAAAATGGCTGTGCTTACATTAAAAAGCCTGCAAAGACATGCTATAGACACCAGAACTACTACGTTTAGCTGTTGTGGTTCTGGTGACTATAGCGTCCCTTGAACATAGAGAGGAAAAAAGAATCATCACAAATGTAAGAAATAGGATGATGATGGGCTCTAGCTGCAGTCTGGCTCCACTGGTCTGGTGTAGAACAGGCTCTCTGGAGGCTGTTTGTAACTGAGGTCACGAAAATCAATGTTCTGCGAGAACGGGAAGCAGCTCCATTTTTTGGGGGCCATTTACACAGCTCAAGGTCTGGGTCCAGGGTCCACCTTCATGTTCCACCAATGAGTTTGTTCACAGGGGGTGGAGTGTGTAGGGGATGTCCTGATATGTGTGTAAGGAATGCACTGTGTGAATCTGTGTTTGTATGTGTAAGGGCTGCAAGGTGTGTTTCTGTGTATGTACGGGATGCAGTGTGTGCGTGTGTAAGGGGTGCATTGAGTGTGTGTACGGGGTGCATTTAGTGTGTGTAAGGAATGCATTGTGTGTTTCTGTGTGTGTAAGGTTTGCATGATTGTGCGATTGTGTGTGTGTGTGATGGATGTCAATCTCTCTCCCTCCCTTGTCACTCTCTTTCTCCTCCTCCCTCCCTCGTCACTCTCTTTCTCCCCTTCCCTCCCTCCCTTGTCACTCTCTTTTTCCCCCTCCCTTGTCACTCTCTTTCTCCCCCTCCCTTGTCACTCTTTCTCCCCCTCCCTCCCTTGTCACTCTCTCTCCCCCTCCCTCCCTCCCTTGTCACTCTCTTTCTCCCCCTCCCTCCCTTGTCACTCT